AAATCAACGAATTAACTATCTGAAAGGTGCACACATGTTATAAGGAGGAACCGTGTTGTAGAATTCGTACTAATCAAATTTCAAAATTGCCAAGCCAAAACTAAAAACAAAACGATAAACTTTTTTGATTCCTGTAATCTTACACAACCTTGCTATTTTATAAATTATACAATGTGAAAAAATGCGCTTACACACACACACACACACACACACACACACTAGTACCATACTTAACTTAAAAAGTGTACCACGCGTGTCAGCCCACTTACAAAGCAAAATCAAGCAAGTAACTAGTTAACTAATTCCGCAAATCACGCAAGCAAATGAAGAACTAACCTTTGATTTTTATGTGCGAATAAGAGCCACGCGAAGCGATCAGTGCACAAGTCGACATCTGAGCAGCAACAACACAATACAAATGCAAAGTTTCTGTTTCTTGCTCTCTGTCTCTGTCTGTCTGTCTCTCTCTTTCTGTCTCTCTCTCTCTCTCTCTCTCTCTCTCTATCTATCTCTCTCTCTCTCTAGGGCAGCAGTAGTGAAGTCGCACGCGACACATTGGTGGCACGTGCACTCACAGTCTTAGAAGCGTGCGCTGCCGCGTGACCACCTCCAAACTCACGTGGATGGTAACGCGGCGCGTGTGCATGCTGTCCCAAGCTCGCCGCCGGCTCTTACTTGTCAAAGCACTTTTTTTTCGCGCATGCAACGAGACACCGAGACTGATGCTGAATATTCTCTCCTTCGTGGACGATGTTGCGAATCGCTAACGCACTTTCGGTTTGTCGTGCCAGCAAGAAATTCGGTATAAATTGGAAATTTAAAATGCTCTTAGGAAGTTCACTATTCGAAAAATTCACTGTCAGAACCGACAACCGCGATAAAAATCGTTTGATTGTTCAGAAACCAAGTTTGTAATAAAATATACTATCTTGCGAAATGATTTTTTATAAAATGTCTATCAATATAATTTTACATTTTCAATCATCATGCAGGTATTTGCTGTTATATTTTTCACTAAATGACATAAAAATTATTAGATGTGCAAAACTACAAATACACCAATTCCATCACGATCTAAGATGTGATCAGTATTTCGATAGAGTTGTATTTGCAAAACAATCACCGACGCAGACATTAGCGATTTATGAATGAACATCAGGACATCTATTTCTTGTTTTTTTCCAATTTATTAATACTTATTAATACTTATCGAATATTTTCAGAATCATTTAATGTAGCTTTAGCCATGTTTTGATTTTCTTCCGGTTTTTTCTCACATATTTTATGCTATTTAAAAATAGCAGAGGTCCGTCGACATTTGATATTCCATCACATTAATTGATAGAAATTGTAAAACAATGATACCTCATTAGTTATCGGAAGAATAATTAACACTTTTGCAACTTCTTTTTACAGCACTGATAGCCAACATGTTAAAAAAGCAAAACAAGATACATTAAACAAATTATACGCAAATGTGTCAAGTTTATATAACATACCAAAAATTATCTTATACCATAAATAAAACAATCACATGAATAATCAGGAATTTGGACCTCCACATTCTCCACTACCATTCGTTCACTAGGACGAAACAACAACGAAGAAAAAAAAGAAAAAATTCTTCTGCCTGTCGACTCAGATAAAATAAACCCATTAACTCATAGCAACTTCTCTCACCGTCAGTCTCCACGTGGAGTAATGTGTGAAATAACGTGGTCATACCGCTTTCCGTGCATAATATTTTTCTTGACCCAAGTGGTTTTTCCCCTTACCTAATACGCACGCGCAAGGCGCAGGTTGCAAACGCGCTTTCGCCGCGTGCGCGCGCGTGTGAAAATGACCACGGTTTTTTCGTATGACGCTGCGCGTAGATTTTTTGCTTTTACATTGTCTGTACGAGGCACGTTGTTCAGATGAATATTTTACATGCTGAAGAAGAATGACATTGTAAATGTTACTTAGCTCAGAGCGCGATTATTTCGTCAAGGATAGGGTGATTGATGTGTCAATTGTGTGCAAGGTACATACAGATTTGAATTTTAATATGGAGTTGTATATATTGTACTGACGATTATTTCTTTGATAAATGAATAAGGCCAGATGGACAGTAATCTGTTTTTCATTATTTGCAGTTTACTGGAAAAGTAAATTTAGATGGTTATGACGAAAAAAAACCCTGTAGGAAATCATATTTTTAGTTGGAAAAACGTAGAGAAGCTGACTTTTCGACTATTTTGATAATTGTGAGAATATGCAACTGAAGAACTATATTCTTGATTGCACAAAAGAATTGCGAATGAAATGTCAAAATACTGGCTAATTTTCCACAGCATGTTGGAAAAGCGTGTTTTGAAAAGTATATTTTTGGATCCATCCTTTTTTAATCTTAAAACATACGCACACATCCAGGCGACCAAAACAATAATGACCACCACGTTAAAAACTAGTCCTCTCACATTCGAAATTTAGAAGACGAAAAACGATCTTTCAGTTGTGCGAATAATTTTCATACAGAATTATTGCTCAAACAGCACTTTCTCTAAAGTACGCAGCATCTGCTAGATTGCGTAATAATGCCACCACGCGACCAATGTCAACTTTGCCGAGCTCAATCTTTTGCAAAAAAAGTAACGACACGTGCGAAATCAGCGCGCACGTACGCTCAACTGAAATCTCGGCTAAAACAATTTGACGGATGGTAAAGAAACATTGTCATGATCAGCGCGATCGTTTAATCCGAGGATAACATCGAAGGAGAAGAGAAAAAGCTATCGCGCGTTAATTGCGCGTGACCGTGATGGATTCAAAGTTCTCGCGCGGATTGGCGACATTGCGTAACGGAGACGGATTCAGGTTTCTTTAACTGCAGCCCCCTTAAAAGGTCTGGAATGCTCGCGTGCATTGCCGAGAGAGCAATTTGTCGCTGCGACGAACGACAGTTGCGTTGGATTTATCGAAGCTCTGACGGGGAATATTGGCATTCTATAGCGTTGCGCGCATCGGATTCGTGAGAAAATTGTTGTCGACGCGCGCCTGATTAGCTATCATCAATGTTGTTGGCTTATTGCATTTCCAAAAGTTTCTCGTTGGCAATTGCATGGCGTTAGTTCATGCTGTTCGTGACAATGTTTTTTCCCCTTATCGTGAATCCTTATTTCCCCTTATTTATTCCAACGCACGCACACTCGTCATTTACGAGAAGGTAAGCGAACAGAATATTTCTAACAATCAAAATTGCATTCACGTACAATAGCAATATTCTCACAGTCAAAATAAAACGCAGCGCACGATTGCGACCTTTTATCGGACGCGTCGGTGATAAACCGCGCGCGGACGGCAGACAAGCGCGCACGACGAACTTACATTACTTATCAGAGCAGTATTTCTCGTCACGTGCGTTTAAATAAGAAGGGAACAAATAACACCATTCTGCGCGTATCTCTCTCTCTCTCGTCGCCTCTTTTGACCGGTTGCTACGAGTTCATCCCTTCCCTCTCAAAGAGTCAAGGCATTGATAACCGCAAATTGCTCGCTATCTTTTATCTTCTCTACCTCCAGCCGCGAGTGCGTTATTAACAGACTCGTGAACAGCGATAAACGGATAACTTTTTGTACTTACGTTGACGCGTATTAGTTGCAGATTATTGTGGACATTGCGAGTACGCCGACAAACATATGTCGGATCGATGGAAACTATTGACTCTTTCCTTGTCGGTAGTCGTACGTTAGAGATAATTGTTTTCGAGGAAAATGGAGAGATTCGTTGTTAAGGTACGGGAGCGTCAAAATGATTCTATATGGTGAATATCGACGAGGCAATTACTTTAAAAGTTGATAATGCAGGGTGTATTGATTGATATGAACTGATCATTACAGCTCGATTTCCTTTTGATTAGAAATAATATTCTCCATACTAACAAATAATACCTAAAACCCATTTAATGATAAAAATTTTTATAATGATGAAGCATTTTTCAAATTCTCATTAGTACGTCTGATAATGCTTAATATTGAACACAAACAGAAATGCAAACAGCAAATCCAGTTTACAAAAGTTCATTAAAGAATTCATGGTTTTAGAAGCACAACTACTCATTATTCATGATGTAAATACTTTTGCAGCCATGACACATGCATTTCACAAACCTTTTGTCTTGCATATAGATGCAAATTAACGACAAAACGTAGAGAAACGTTAGAAACTTGATTAGAATTGCAGGATTCGTCATGCACACGACGAACATGACGTGAAAACCTATCAGCTTACAAAATCTCCAAGCGATGAACTTGCAAAAGAAAGTAGACCACTTGGCGAAGCTGATACGGTTATTCTCGTGCAGGAACTCATCACGAGGACTGACGACGGAAACTTAAATTACAGGCAATGGACTACGAGCAGCACGTCTAACAAACGTGACTCACTTATATTAACCATCACATTGCGTAGATATTTAATACACAAAACACCACTGTAAAGTCACTACGGGGACGACAATGTGTTTTGCACGTAGTTGTGATGTGTGGGAAAATAATTGAAGTTGAGTTGGTACATTTTTTCCGGGACTCAGATATATTATTGTCTGTTATAATTCGTCCCTGATGCTGATCACTAAGAATACGATTATGCCACGGTCAAAATCTCGACAGTTATGATTCGATTGTATAATTTAAGTAGGGAATTAATACAAAAATGTTGAGTGAATTTAAATAACTATGTAAATGAAATTTCTTTTCAACTAAATGATTCGTTAAAAAATATAGCGTAATAAATATAGCGTATATAAGGAACATAATTTTTATGATGAATATAATGCTTTACTCTATAACGTTTGGGATTTATTCAAATTAAGGACGTTAAAAAAATAATTATACATCAGAAACAAAAAATCGCAAGGCTAAAACTAATGTTTTTAATTACTCAATGAATACATTCACTGACAAAGAAAGTAATAGTTTAATAAGTAGAATCAATTTAAGAAATGTACAGATTTTTTATTTTTGAGTCTAGTTACACTGTATTCAATGAACTTAATATTAGATCTATAAATACAAGTATCATCATGATGATTTTTCAAACACGCAATCGTTCACGTTGATGTTCACTTATACGAGAATTATCTTCTGGTATTAATAACAATGATTAATCAAACTAATCATTCTAGCTTCATGAAGAAACACGAGGTAACAAAGGTATACAAATAACACAGAAAAAAAATGTATTGGAAGTTATTTTTTCCTTTCATTTTTTTTGTCACCGATAGCATTTCAATAAACATTATGATTAATGTTTTTTTTTTCAAAAGTATGTATCTTATCATTCCCTAATTTAATTTGTACAATTAGCGCACAATTCATCACGCGGTTGTCGAGACATAAAAATTGTCCGGCTACAATATGTATATCCAGTAAAAATCGTAAATAGTCCACGAAATTAGTCTATTATCAATCTCAACTGCGTCACGCATGTCAACATCAAAAACATTTTTTCCCTTTTTAAATGCACAGTTAGTCTCATTCTCTTTCAGCTGGTCTATCACCCCTTTCCTCGGCTCTTTCCTCGGCTCTCGCTTTCATTCTGGTGATGAAAGCTTGACCCTTACTTTTACGGAAGGTTTCGTAAGGATCGTTAAGATTTATACCTACACCCTTATATTGATCAACTCGGTCGCGTATTTCGCCACCCGAAATCGGCGCTTCAATGCCCTGTTCGTTAGCACCGAGACCTGCGCCACCCCATCCCATCTTGCGCAGCAGCTGGTGACCCTTGTTGCTCTCGTCGATACTTGAGTCTGGGGTTGCTTTGCTATACGTCGAACCTCTGAACAAATAATGAAAAATAGCTTAGTTATTGAAACAATGACCTCATTAGCAACTATACGCGAATCCGTCGATAAAATATATCTAAATAGTCTTACAACGCCGAATTTTTTATTACACTATTAACAATAAAACGTAAACTTACAGAAAACTAGGTGGCGTAGGACTTCTATCCGAACGATCGAGTCTTCTATCAGGCGAGCGATGTGGTGTGTTCGATATTTGTCCATCGTTTATCTTGCTATTATTCCGCCTTCTTCTATTGCGACTGCTGCTATGACTATTTCTATTACTTCGTCGGCTATTGTGATTGGGCGTTGTGGGCGCAGGCGATCTAGATCTACTCCTTGCTCTTTCCTTTGGTGACCTTGACCTCGATCTACTTTTCGACTTGCTTCTGTAACGTTTCTTTGGTGGACTAGGGCTCTTTGACCGTGGCCTAAGTATCGGTGACGGTGATTTCGATTTCCGTCTTATGCCTGCCTTTATGTCATCTTCCTTTCGCTTTTTTGCGGTATTTTTTGCTCTATAGTACTCGTATAGGCCTAATTTCTCCCAACCGTCACTATGAAATTTAAAAAGAAACATATTAAATAAATTATAAAAATTAGCTTTATCTATTTAAAAAAAACTAATAAAACTAAATAAACCTACCTATCTCTAGGCGAATCGTGATTTGGTGGCGCATAAAAGGCGTCGACGGCAGCAATTAGTCTGTCACTTGGTGGTGCCGGTGGTGGTAATCTAATGGCATCAGCATCAAGCGGTTTATAATTGTAATCCTCAAGTTTTATCAACGGCACCATGAGACCAGCTGGAAGTTCGAAGTACGGCATGCTGGGCATAAGGTCTTCGGGCTGTATATGAACTTCCTGCGACATAAGAGGTGGCGGTCCTCCCGATGGCGGTCCAAAGCCTGGAGGTGGTTTGGAGAAATCTGGCAAAGGAAGATTAGGCGGTGGACCACCTGGACCACCCGGGCCACCTGGGCCACCGGGACCACCCGGACCACCTGGATGATTCCAGTTTGGTGGCGGCTGACTAAAGTTCAAGTCGTGTGGTGGCGGACCATGATGATGAGGTGGCATTCCTCCATGGGGTGGACCTCCGTGAGGAGGCATAGCTCCATGTGGTGGCCCACCAAGCGGTCCCATACTTGGATGATCTGTAATAAAATTGTATTTATGAATGTTTATGAAATTGGAAATGATTCAATGAACAATTATCTATTATAGTTTTTATTTAAAAAAATTAAAAATACCTCTTGGATGAGGGCCATGCGGGCCTCCATGCGGAGGACCACCATGTGGACCTCCGTGAGGTGGACCATATGGACCATGAGGCGACCCAGAGTGTGGTGGACCTCTATGCGGTGGATAATCCGGATGCATGCTACCATGTGGAGGACTAGCATGTGGAGGACCTGAATGATGAGGTCCGCCATACGGAGGATCGTGAGGTGGACCACCGTAAAGAGGTCCGTCATGTGGTCCATAAGGTCCCTCACGAGGTTGACCTCCATAGGATGGTACATCACGAGGTTGACCTCCATATGGTGGCCTATCATCACGCGGTTGACCTACGTAGGGAGGACCAGGTTCTCGAGGTGGCCGACTTCCATATGGTGGTTCATCGCGAGGTTGAGCCCCGTACGGTCCATCGTCATGCGGGTGACTTCCATAAAGCCCATCATCACGCGGGTGATTACCATATGGTGGCCCTTCTTCGCATGGATGTCCCCCGTATGGTGGTCCTTCATCACGTGGGTGTCCTCCGTAAGACAATGCGTCTTCACGATCAGGTCGACCGTAGGATGGTCTTTCCTCATGAGATCGACTGCCGTAGCCTTCTTCACGATTGGGTCGGCTACCATAGGGTGGACCCCCATCGTCACGTGGATGTCCTCTGTATGGCGGCCCTTCTTCGCGTGAATGTCCATAAGGTGGTACATCTTCTCGACTAGATCGGTTAACATACGGAGGATCTTCGTCCTGCATCCGACTACCATAAGGTGGTCCTTCGCGAGGTGGTGGTCCTCCGTACGGTGGTCCATCTTCAAGCGATGGACGTCCAATATAAGGTGGTCTTCCGTCAAGCGATGGTGGTGGTCCGCCGTGTGGAGGTGGTCCGCCATGTGGAGGTCCGCCATGTGGAGGTGGTCCGCCGTGTGGGGGTGGCCCACCGTGTGGAGGTGGTCCACTATGTGGCGGTGGTCCACCATGTGGCGGTGGTCCTCCATAAGGAGGTCCTTGATGATCTCCTGATGGGACATCATGCGGATGATTTGTATGCGGAGGTGGTCCAGGTGGTCCAGAGTGTGTTGGCGGTGGCCCAGATATGGGTGGTGGTCCGGAATGCGGTGGTACATTTTGTTGACTTGGCTATTATTCGTAATAACATTCATGAATTTATGGGAAAAACGAATCATTTTTAAAATTTTTTGTTATTTTGGAATTTTTTTATAATGTTATTTACATATAATATAATCAAAGTCTAAGTATCGACACACTTCTAGTATTAATGGCTTCGATATCTTAATACATATAAACATTTACTACATATATTATAACATTGCTCTTACCATTGGCGCAGAGGGTGGTGCTTTGAGTTGTCGATCAATTACAATTTTCTGCTGTTCTATATTCTGAATCTGCCTCATCGCATGATTGACGAAAGCCTGATGCTGCGCTTGATAATTATCAAAAGTCTGCTTAGTGGTGGCGGTGATAGAAGTGATGGCACCTGCATGCTGTGTCATTAAACTCGTCTGATAATCTGACCAGGAGCCGCTAGGATTCTTCAGCTTCTCTATAATGCCCTCTTCAAAATAATTACTTTTTGATTCCCACAAACTTAAAAGCTTATTTAATTTGTTTAGTTGTTCTTCCGTGGCAACTAATGATGTATTACAAAACATAGGTACCACAACACTTTCCATTGCTTTTCGCAAGTCCACTGATTTTTTTCGAGCACTAGTAAAATTATATAAATTTCATGATAAAATTGATCAACAGTTTTAAGAAATAAATTTATTCAATAATTAATTGACGACTTTGACCCTCCAACTTACCAATGATGCAACACATCATTTACCAGATAAATAATATGAAGTTTATGAGTAAAAGTGGTTTCTTGAATTACTCTAAAATTCAAGTCAGACATATTTTATCAGATGCTCCATATATTTTGTAATTCAACATGTTAAAATTCATGACAATATTAGAGGTACATACCTCTTGAGTAAATGTTCAGCTATAACTTGATTACTTTCTAATGTAATAGAATTCTGTAATATCCAAGCTTTTCCTGCACTTATACTGTCCTTAGTGCAACTATCAATAATAGGCTGAAGAACAGAATCAAAGGTAGCCAAGTCCGTATTAGTATTTTGTGCACTTGTCTGCAAAGTATTTTCTTGCGCCTGTCTCACAGCATCCTCTACCCTTCCCTGTTGTTGAGCCATTAGAGCAGCATGCTGAGCAGCCAAGTTTTGTTCCGATTGACGCACTTGATCTTGAAGAGTTGTTTGCTGTGACTGAAGATTGGATAATTCGGTTTGCAACCAAGAAGTGGATCTACCAACAGAATTCTGTTGAACAGACATATGACCAGCATTGTGTACTGGAGGTATGTGTCCAGGCCCAGCATTTGGAGGTCCAGCATGATGCCCAGGTCCTGAATGAGGAGGTGGACCTGAGCTATGCATGTTGGGGGGGTTGCCTGCAGATCCCACGTTTGTTTGAACTGAATTTAAGCCATTGTTCTGATGTATGCCTACATTGTTAACTACTGCTACTGCTGATTGCTGCTGCTGCGAAACGTTTAAACGTGGATCTGCATTTTGCATTGGATTTATTCCTTTTTGTTTTAAAACTGCAAACGAATGATGGTGAATTATTGTATGGCGTTTAGATGCTCAGTCAATAAAATATTATTTTTTTAATATTTTTAATGCAACTCCTATTGCACTTTCTTTCATCCGTTACATATGCTCTCCAACATTAGCTGTCATCTTATTTTTTTGTGGTATTACATGTATACATAAACTTTCGAAATTATCCCTTCCCAAAGAGTGTTAAAGGACGTAGTTGTATAGTTGTTTTGTCCCACTTACTGGCTTGTTCAGTTGTAACTTTGTACTGGTAGTAGTTAAAGTACTCTCCACCAAACAGGAAACTGAACTTCGGGTTGTCCTTCTGTTTGTTCTTGGTCATTTGCTCGAACTCAGGCCCATTTCTGGCAACAAACTGCGCCAACTTATCGATGATGTTGCGCAGTTCTGTATCTGTATTGAGAATAAAAATATACTTGTTTGAAAGTATTCTATTATCAAAGCTCAATATTCTTAAGGGGTTTATTTGTTTCTACCTGAATTCAGATTCCTATAAATAAACTAAACTTTTTTTTAATGTACAGTAGGTTTTTAAAATTACTATCAATTATTTTGAGTTAATCAGCATTTTTTAATATTTTAGAAGTGAGTTAAGAACAGAGTTTGTGTTCAATTCATTTTTTTAAATAAATGTAAACGCACAAGTTTATGTATTAACAACAAAAAAGTTAACCATAACACATACGACAAAAACAATATAACTCGAATTTTTGAACTTGAATGTAAATTATTCTATTCCAAAAATGAAATAAATACAAAGAAAGTGTAAACCACAATGATACACTCTTCACAACAACATGTCCTAAAATGCTCCAAGAACTTATCAAGTCGCCCAAATAGTATAGGAAGTGTTAAGAAACACGAAGTTAACCTAAAAACCGCGTGCAACTATGCACAAATCAAATCTCCATCATACGAACTCTGTTTTCATCTCACCCGTTGAAATTACATGAAAACCAAATTACAAGATACATGCTTGAAAAGCGATCAAAGAGAAAAGCAAATCGAGCGCAGAGGAAAATTGAACGGTCAAGGAAATAATCGACCGCCCGCGCTTAATCTTACCTGCCGGCGCCTGGTCCATTTTGACTACGCCTGCCTCTTCTTGTGGATGCTACACATACGCACTGTTGCGTCGCAATTTAGATTTATCTGTGTTTCCAGATATTCTAGCACGATATTACGCGATCAATTATCTCTGGTTTTTCTCACTTAGTACAATTGAGTTGATGTTATTACAGTGCTGTGGTGCAGTAGCGCCCGACCGAGCTTCTTCTTTTAGGTATCTGGCCGCCATTACTATACACGCATTGCAAGCCGCCGATCAGTTATTCTATGGTTGCTTTTTTCTTTTTTTTTATAAAGTGGAAGTTTCGCCACTGTCACGCTAATTATAGTTCATTGATTAAATTTAATGTTCAAATGCATGCCCCAAAAGTAAATTTGTGTTAATTAAGTGCAAACGAAAATATTCGTCAAAGGAATTTTAAAAATAGTTCATGATACGTATTTTCACAATCATATCTACTAAATGGTACAATTGTAACTAATTGTAATTGATTGTAACATTAACAAAATATAAAGATTCTCAACTGCTATTACGCACTTAATTTAATTTTTAATTAAAATACGTTAAGTTTTTTTCAGTTTTTGTTTGAATTTTTGCGCAGGACGGTCATCGACAATCATTTTTTGTTATCAATCTGTCAATCGGCGCACGCAGTACACGCACGTTTATGGCGTAGCTATACGCGCGCCACCATCGTCAGGAAATCAAAGCAGCTGTTTACGATCATCTGGGCTTACTCCCCATCGCGCGGAGGAGTCAGTCAGACGGATATCTACACGTATTGTTTCTGTTCTGAAAGTGGTGGTGTGTGCACTCTTACGTGTCCTCGATATTATCCGCCTACTTATGCAGCTGTAGCACAACTCAAAAATGCAACGCCACCGAAATTGAAAAGATCGTCGCCGCCGTCATCCGTGCATCGTCAAGTTGTGCAGAGTCGCGCAACGACAAAAAGTATCTCTCTCAACAACGGAGGCTTAAAAACCTTCGTTGTTAAGTTTCTCGCTCGCTCTGTTACCCAAAAGTCTCAAAGGTCAGTCAATTCTTTGCTTTATCGTTATCATTTTTTTCCGTGCAATAATGAATTAGAGTTACGTGCACAGTACGAGATAACTTATCTATTATACAGCACGAAAATACTTTCACTTGAGACTGCGAATCGGAATTGTACGTATGCTCGCTTTGGTTTCAGCGTCATTTCGTTCTCACAGGTAATTAGCGTTTTTAATAACGTAAACATTTGTTCGACTTTTTATCGAATCTAAGCTTTTATGGAACTTACGTGTTGTGTCAATTTCCGAAAGAATTGTGAGAAACAATGTTGATTGAGTACTTTAATTCATCAAATCAGTGTCAAACAATAGCACCCACAAACCAATTCAGTGCTAATTATTCATCAATTCTCACGTATTCGCTCTCGAGTTCATCGCAACATAACCAACATTTCTGCGACTAAAATTCTTATCGATCTTCTAAAAGAAATAGTAATAACTCTATTACGAGAGAGAGCCTGCGAACCCTCGTGCTATATACTATACACGTCACGCGGTCTTTCTAAACAAAACACGCAGGAAACCTCAAAGGTCTTTACCGTATCATCAAAGCTATTGACCTACTAAAATCACTAATGATATTATATGTTTTCGTATCCAGATAGAGACTGTGTGGGGTTGGGCGTCGCCTCCGCTGCGCCTTCAGGTAGCAGCCGGGGCCCCTACACAGCAACAACAGCCACCGCCATCAGCACCAAATCAACAGCAGCCGCAACCACAGGCGCCATCGCCACGCGGTGGAGCATCATCGAGAATGGGTGAAATGGTGGTCGATCGTGCACCATCGCCCGCACGGCTAAGTCACACCTCGGAGAAACACCCAAGAGCTACGCTCACTGAGCTCACTGTGCTCAGAAGGCACAGGGAGCTCTGCGACGTTGTGCTCAATGTCGGCTCCAGAAAGATCTTCGCTCATCGGGTTATATTGTCGGCGTGTAGTCCGTACTTTAGGTGAGATCTGTTGATAATCACGATCGTTTGGCTTTAATGGGTTCTGGAGTGCTTTTTCTTTGCGCGTCAATCGATTTTTTTTGCCATGCTCAGTCAATGTTAAAGTAAGGAAAAAGTTTACCTGAGCTGTTGAAAACATCTACGAGATTCTTTTTTATGCAAGACACTTATGTGATATAGTGGAATAGATGTATTAGACGTAAAGAGAGCTGTTTCCAGATTCTACAATAGAAAGAAAAATAGCCGAGTGGTTTTGCAAAAGAGCATTTTTAGAAAACGTCAATACCGAGATAACGTAAAGCTTTCAAAGTTGTCTTTCTTACAGAACAAACGGCGCGCGTTAGAAACGTATTATCGTGTAATTTGTTTTTTCAGAGCGATGTTTACGGGCGAGCTAGCGGAATCGCGGCAAACAGAGGTGACAATACGCGACATAGACGAAATGGCAATGGAGCTGCTAATTGACTTCTGCTATACGTCTCATATAATTGTTGAAGAAGCGAACGTGCAAACATTACTTCCAGCCGCCTGTCTCCTACAACTTGCTGAAATTCAGGACATCTGTTGCGAGTTCCTTAAACGACAGCTCGATCCGTCCAATTGTCTTGGCATACGAGCTTTCGCCGACACTCATTCCTGTCGCGAACTATTGCGGATTGCCGATAAATTCACACAACACAACTTCCAGGAGGTAATTTCATCCTTTTTGCCAGTTCAGCGAGTTTTTCTTTTATAAACTTTATGGCTCGCGAAAAATCATCATTCGTATTTTGTTATCCGTGACCTGGATTATATATATACACACACACATACTATGCATATATATTACGTATATACACTCGCGAGAGGGAAATACAAGTTTAAGTTTGCTAAAATGTATCTTGAGAACTGGGCTCCATCATATTACTACGACTGGCTCGTCAAGCACTTGATTCGATTCGTCGTTTAACCGAAATTCTAACTTTGCTTCTATACGTCTAATGAAATTTCGGAGTTTCTTAGAATATACATAATAGTAATACGAAATAATTAGTCATTCGATACTTTTATGATTAAAATATTGTTTCGATTGAATATTATTTATAATTTACATGTAAAAAACATATTGATTATTCGAAAAACGATGTTTCGAGGTAAAAGCATTGCTAGCGCGAAAGTGAATTTAATCAGTATAACAGTTGATAGTACTTTATATTTACTCCGTGTTCTATTTGGAAATAAAGACTCGCAGACTACGAATGTTGAATATTAAATTGCAAATTAATTTAATAACTATTAGTTTACTAATATTTGTAAATCGATATTTTGTAATATATGTACCAAAATGTCGAAGTCACGAATAGTAACTTTGAACAATTTGAAGAGTTAACAATTATTTCGAATATTTAATATCATTTTTTCGTAATTTTAAAATTCAGTTTTTACCTTTTAGGTAATGGAAAGCGAGGAATTCCTTCTACTGCCAGTCGGCCAGTTAGTCGACATAATCTCATCGGACGAGCTAAACGTGCGTACGGAGGAGCAGGTATTCAGTGCTGTAATGAATTGGGTCAAGTATAACGTGACCGAGCGTCGTCAACATCTCGCCCAAGTGCTCCAACACGTGCGTTTACCATTGCTCAGTCCTAAGTTCCTCGTCGGTACCGTCGGCTCGGATTTACTCGTCAGATCTGACGATGCGTGTCGTGATCTCGTCGACGAAGCGAAAAATTACCTGCTACTACCACAAGAGAGACCATTAATGCAGGGACCAAGAACTAGACCGAGAAAACCTACACGACGTGGAGAGGTAACATTCATTTCATTTTTAATTCAGAGCTTTTAAATAAAAATCCAATGTTATTTCAGGTATTATTTGCGGTTGGTGGATGGTGTTCAGGCGACGCGATAGCAAGCGTAGAGAGATTTGATCCCAACACCGTCGATTGGAAAATGGTTGCACCGATGAGCAAACGAAGATGCGGTGTTGGTGTTGCAGTATTAAATGATTTGTTATATGCCGTTGGTGGTCACGACGGACAAAGTTATCTGAATAGCATCGAAAGGTATGATCCACAAACAAATCAGTGGTCGTGCGATGTTGCGCCGACGACGTCATGTAGAACTAGTGTTGGTGTGGCTGTACTCGATGGATTCTTGTACGCTGTTGGTGGACAAGACGGCGTGCAGTGTCTTAACCACGTCGAGAGGTAAGAATATATCTTTAAAGGATTTATTAATTACGTTGGAAAATATATTCACATTATACATATGATTTTATTTTTAGGTATGATCCAAAGGAAAATAAGTGGTCGAAAGTCTCGCCAATGACGACACGACGACTTGGCGTAGCTGTGGCAGTGTTAGGAGGTTACTTATACGCTATCGGCGGGTCCGATGGTCAATCACCGTTGAACACAGTTGAACGCTACGACCCACGGCAAAATAAGTGGACGCAGGTTTCACCTATGTCAACGAGACGCAAACATTTGGGTTGTGCAGTATTTAATAATCTTATTTACGCGGTTGGTGGAAGAGACGATTGTATGGAACTTTCAAGCGCTGAGCGATATAATCCACACACGAACTCTTGGAGTCCTATCGTTGCTATGACTTCTAGGAGAAGTGGGGTAAGTTAAGCTTTTCATACTACTTAACATTTAAGCAAAAATTATAAATGTAATCGCATTAATGATCAATTTTTCGATAATTTAGGTAGGTTTAGCAGTAGTGAACGGTCAACTATACGCAGTAGGTGGTTTCGACGGCACGGCCTATTTGAAAACAATCGAGGTGTACGATCCAGAACAAAACCAATGGCGTCTATGCGGTTGTATGAATTACCGTCGACTAGGTGGTGGCGTAGGTGTGATGCGTGCACCACAAACCGAGAACTACATTTGGTAGCTCAGGCCCCCCACTTCAGCCAGTACCTCCACGGCTGAATGCACGACGCCTCTGACGACGCCAGTGACTCCAGTGACACCTGTAACTCCACCTGCACCTATATCCGCTCCATTGCAGGCTAACAATAACAACAATTCTAGCAACACTAGGAAGCGCTATCGACGCTCCATGAGCATCATTTAATGTTTACTACAATTTTGTTCCGCGCATGCACTGCAAATTCCGATTGGTTTACTCTGGGATGACGTTAGGTGAGTTTTATAGGAGCAATTGTCTCTATCCAGGTTTTACTTCTCTTAGGAAAATTGATTTTATTTAGTCGTAAGTTTTACTAAAATAGATTTTTATTTTTTAAACGATTTTTTTATGTACCTACCCATTCGTCTTTCAAATACCGGTTTCCACGTTTCCGAGAGTAAACTAAGTATAGCTACATCGACATTTACCAATTATCATTTATAATTGTACTTTTCCCATGGATTTAAGGAACTCGTAATAAAAACTACTAAATTCGATCCTAAAGCTTTAAAGTACAACAAGGTGTTAGTGAGAATCTGAGCGCATTGCTGTCACAAATCAGAGGTATCGCACTGTTATTAAACATAATTCGAAAGACTTAAGAGGTATTAAATAACCAAGCAGCTAACATTCATCACTGAATACAATACAATTTAAGTGAGGGCTAGTTAAATGCCCGAAGCCAAGGACTGTGTTATTATAAATATAGGTTCGCTCGATGAACAAGTTATAATTATATAATTTTCGTATCGAGTTACTTACTTTATTGTTTATTTTATTTAAGTTTTTTTTCCAAGACTTCAAAATAAACGAATCATGAATAATTCTTGAAAGCGTACCGTAGTGTACGAAATGTTTTTAAATAATTCGTATAAATCCGTAACTGTCATAGATTTTAAAAGTAAAAACTGGACACTTTATTTATTGTAGATAAAGTTATTATGATTTTGTAATTTCTTTTTTTCACCGTGTTGTACGCATTATTGTTTTTACTTGAATGTAAATTTTTATTTGAAAAACAATTCGAAAAGCAACTTCAACAATACGTGAGTAAAACGTGTTTTAGCACTAAAATTACATTTATTTCTAAAAACCGAAATTGTTTGAATATAAATGAAATATATACATTGTATAGTTGTGTGCGAGATTATAATCTTGTCATTAAAATCAAGCATTAATTAAATTATTATACTTAAGTAATAGATAATTAACGCCAATATCTTGCTTGATAAAATACATGTATAATCTTTAAAAAATAATGCTATAACTCTGTTCAAACAAGTCAATCTTTTTCAGACAAAATACAACAAATACTGTATTATAAAAGGCGAGCGTCGTTGTATCATATACACCGACGCAAAGGATACCTGTTTTTTTTGTTTACGCGCCTAATTATAAAACTTCACTGTGAGAGGAAATTTTGTTGATGCACTCAGTCGCATGGTTATTGGAATAATTATAACGAGAATACACCAGGAAAATTATTGTCATTAAATAGCGAAAAACAATATACTAAGAATTGAATTATTGAAAATAAAGAAAAAAGCGCGCAAAGCACACTTTTTTTAAGTTTGTATAATTCAAAATATCTGTATGATTGTATGTACAAGAGCATTTGATTAATTTTGTATATATTGAAAATATATCTGAAATATATTGTTAAAACTGATGCGAAATATATCTTGTATTTATATTACTTTTCTCAGTATACAAACATTCAGAAATGATATCACTTTTCTCTTTATTTATATTACTTACCTATTTCTCACATTTTCTTTTATAGCTAATTCAAATGTAGGTACTAGATACCTATATTTTTTCTTTTTTTTTGTATCTGTAACAATATAAATATTTATTCTATCAAAAGAATGAAAATTATAGAAATAACCGCATAAATACTATTAAAAATTTTTTAATATAATATTTACGAAGTAACAAGGTTTCATATTTACTAATGATTTTTTATAAAAAAAGGTTATTGAAGTTTTTAAGTTTTTTATTTATTGAAAAAGCTTTTAAAAAAATAAGAAATATAAAACTTTTTTGTTGTGACTCATACACGAATGTCGCCGTCATTTTGCACAACGGCAAGTCAAAAATCCTACCAATCAAATATTTAATTTGGTCTCTTAAAACGATGAGGTCATTCGACCCTTATGCTATCTTATTTTATCTTATTAAATCTCCAATCTATCATATAATTTTTTTTACAACAAAAATCCCTTTAATATGGCTGGTGGCGTCACGTTACGGCGAGATTTGCAAGTGTTCGGGTCGATTGATCGCTCGCTTGCTATACGTCACTCACATACGGGAAAGATCAGTTCCGAAGTAGGCAAGCGTCTGGTCCGTGCGTGCAAATTTTACGTATAGAAAAAAAATAGTCGTTTTTCTGTCAGCTGACACCGAGGAGACGGTTGAGCTAGGTTGTGCGTGTGTGTGTTTGCTGCGTGGCTGTGCTGTGTGCGTTTAAAATAGTCTCCCAAAATGGTAAATTTCCTGTGTGCCTCAGATATGATAAGCCATTCCTTTTTGATAATTCGAAAACTAAATGGGCACTTGCCTCGATCTTGTAAAAGTCGTTCCAGGACAAACTCACCGCGATTATGCAAAAGCCAGGCCAGGATCCAAATGCCAAGGATGACGCACCCTGGTACCTCAAGTATGGTGGTCGTATAGTTGGGACCTTCGGCGGTTTCAGTAATGATGCTTTCTTATATACTAATATATCTTATCCTGTGTGAATATTTCGGATGTTGTTGCGCGTTTGTTACACTGTCTTAATTACAAAGGTTTTTTGTATCCCTTACGTGCGCATTTTTTGTGTTAAATATTACGTTGCCAGTTGACTTGCAGCTTTAAGTTCTTTTTCAATTCTGAGACAGGAAGTTCAGAGTATATTGATTCATTTCTGTTCCTAATTTATGCCTTATCAATCAATACATTTGAGAACATGTACAATGATTTAGCAATGAAGTTTTTGTTGTATTTTGCTGTATTGTTAAAATGAAATTTTAGTTAAAACAAGAATATAAAACAAAGGTGTGCAGCTTTTGTTTTAACAAAGAATGTTATTTTTAGAATGAAAGATAGAACAATATATCTTGATTCACTACATGTATCATGTATTTTTTATTTATCCTAACAGCATAAGTTTTTCAAATAACAATTATTTATGAACTTGATTATTCTTTCCTCCATAGTAAACCAATATAAATTCTTCCTTTTTTTACAGTTTCAATACTTGTGGGAGCAATTGGTTGTCTTGGAATTATTCTGTTTAGTGTATGGAGCTTTTTATCTGGAATTTGTATGATGCTTATAGGATTTCTAGTTATTGTTGTTGAAGCTCCCTGTTGTTGTATGTTTATTGAGTTTGTACAAAAAATCAGTAATATAGCAGATAGCCGTCCCTATTGGAATAGAGCTGCTCTTTATTGCGGGTAAGTTAAATGCTAAGAATTGCATATTTTTAGCTAATCAATCACTGATAAGTTATGTAATGTTCTTATTAAAATTACAGGTTACCAATTATTCCTCTTGTCATGAATTTGACTATTACTACATTTTTTGCATGTGCACTGATATTTTGTACTGGACTGATTTATGGAGTTATGGCTATTGGCAAAAAGTAAGTTACTTTATTTTTATGGTCATCTAACCAGTTAGATTAATCAGAATATTAAGTCAAGGCAAATTAATAATTCAAAATTATTATGTTATAATAATTATGCTTTTGATGGATTAACTGCTCCCTATATTTTGTGTGTCTGTAACAATAAAAAGGATAGCTTTTGTGCATAAATTGCTGAAAATAAATCATTTTTTATTATTAATCAAACTGTTTGTAACTAATACAAACAACATTTGGCTTTTGTGTGGGTGTTTCATGACATGTTTTCAAAATTCATTGCTATCTTATCAAGCTATTGGTTAAGTATCTATCTACAGTCTGTGGCTATTTGAAAAATATCATATTAGCCTTTGGTAATATGATCTTTTACCTACACAACTTGAGTAAATGTGAACTAACATGTATGTAGGGATCCCATTTGTAGATGTTGAATTACATAAAAGCCTCACTTTGATTTCACTTTAAAGAAAATATGATTATTCGATGCTCTCTATTTGTTGAGCCTTAAAAATTTTATTGTATAATTTGGATACTTTAATTACAAAATTTTATAGTACATTATTCCAATTATTCGAACAAATGTTTTTCTTTCCGTTTTCGACGTGTTTTTAATGATCCCTCTAAATGTAAATAACAAAAATCTGTGTAAAACAATAACAGAGGCGGCGATCTTGCCGATGGAGGTGGTTTACCGACATCATATGTAAGCTCTCCTACGGGAGAACAAATGCCTCAGCAAGGTGATCACCATACCACACTCATGGAGGATCCCGACGTTTGGCGGCCGACATAAGCCGCAAATATTAACTAATCCCACTACCAACGCTAACCAGGCAATAATAATGACACATTTCGTAATATCATGTGCTTAATTGTGCTTTCATTGTTGTTTTCTTGTTGCGGTGTAGCTTTTTCAGTATATGTTGCATGAATAGATAAATGTTCAAAAAGATGCGTTGTGATTACAGTGTAGCCCGTTTGCCTTCCATCAAATTTTTTTTGTTTTGTGAAATTTCGTGCATGTTACGAATTTCTATAACTTTTGCTTGTAATATATACAGTTGGAGGAATGCAATTATAATTTTTTACAGATACCGCAACAATATCGTGTGTGTCTGTGTGAGTGTGTATGTGTATGTGCATGTGTGTGTAGGTGTGGGTGTGTGTTTAATTTTTCACAGCGATCATATACTAATTTTACATTAGTTCTTTAATTTTCATCCACTATTATTTTTAGATAGATGTGACACATATAATCGTTATCAATCAATGTCAATGGCTTCTTCTAATTGACTTTTAATATTTTAGGGCATCAAGAGACGAAATGAGTAGAGCTGCAGCAACCGTTGACGGACCAGGAATGTCATCACATACGAAATCGAATTTAGTTGAAAATGCTCAACCAATAGGTTTGAGCAACAGACCTGATAGCAACGTCTGACCATCGGAAGTGTTCCGTTTAATATTTGTGCGTGATATATAACAATTGTAAAAGCTGAACAGATGAGTTTTATAGACTTTTCTTTTTTTTATTTTGAAAGTATTTAGATGTCCACCGATGTACGCGTGATTTATTTGTGATGACTACATAATTTTGATTATTGATTGAAATGTCTTTGTTCGTGAGAAACGTCAGAAAACATTTTTTAGTTGATTGATTGTCTGTAACTAAAGGAAGGCTGAATATTAATTTAATTGGTTATTGAATTGTACTTTGTAATGTTTATTAAAGAACGAATGTTATTTATGTTTGATAGTATAGCTTTTACTGACTTTTCTCATGACAGTGTAAGTTTATCTTTTTAATATAAATTATTCTTCCAACTTGTCTTCTTGGATATTTTGATATCAAAGTTAATCGCAATACTCTTTCCTCATCAAATACTTTATCAACAAATGTAAACGCTTAAGCGTCTATATTCATTGGCTGTATAGAGATAAAAAAGCTTCTATTGCATAGGACAATGAATAATTTGAAAGGGTTCTGATTGCTTGTCTTCATTTTTATGAAATAGCCAACTTTTTCATACGTTTAATATCGTTGCTTTCTTTTAATATGATTTTTGTACTTATTTAGATTTTGTTACTTCAGTTCCTGTGAACAAAATCACTAAAAAAAGAAATTTGGATATTATTTTTGTTTCAGCTTTAATAGCATAAAAACTTGCATATTACAGTTTATTTTGGTAAAGTCATGGTAAATAAATAAAATTAATTAAATTTACGCTCATTTGTAAATAACCGTTATCAAAGACTATCTAACCAGCGCTTATAATTTTAAAATCATTGATTTCTTCCTCGACATTCCTATTGTTTTCTATTTCTAATTTATACTGATTAAAAATGAAAGACTTACAACTGGTGAAGAATTTGATTGTGATGCCCTGGTTACATTGATAAACTAAATTAGACTCATTGGTAATTTAAACCTTTCTAGATAATTGACCCGACTACTTCAAAGATTTTCGTCAACACTAATTAAATAAACATCATAGTCGTCTGTTTTTGAAAGATCTTAAATTGTCTCACAATAGTAAATGAAAAATTTGTTTAATGCTTCCATGCACAGTGATTTATTCACTCTAAAAACGTTTATGTTATTTCTACGTTTTGTATACACAAAAACAATTGAGATATGTACAAATATGTAAATAATCTATCGTAAAATTATCATCATTACAAAACTTCGCAAATTTATCAAGTTAATTTTTTTTTGTAATTTCATTAATTGACAAGAATTTAATGTTCTTATATCATTTACAATTTAAATGTGAGCCAAATAAGCAGATGATTGAAGTTGTTTCATAAACAAACGATTCACTTCATATGTTAAACTCTTCAGAAGTAAACGAGAGAATTTCTTTCGATGATAGTCATAGAAATTTGACATTGAGAGAATCATTTGAATTTTTACACGCTAATTCGAAATTTACAATTATTTAGCAATTGGTTTATTTTATTCCATATAAGTCAGCTAGGACATAGCCTCCTATGCTATATTGTAGATGTAAGCTTACAGTTAATGAGAAAAAATATTAGAAAAATATATCCTGATTGGTAGAGAAGTTAAGAGACAAGTGTATGTATGAGTGCTGTTAGTCGAAAAGCTGTATATTTAATTTAAACTAGATATATATATACAGTTGATTTCCTTCAATGCAAGTTTTAGCAGTCATACCAAATCATGATCTCTATTATATCAGCTATATATAAACTTAAAAGTTATACTGTGCAGTTTTTTTGTTTTTTTCTATATAACATTTCGAAAATTGTTATCTCATTGTTTCATCAGATCAGTAAAATTACTCCTTAGCAATATATATTGTTGAATTTCTTCTGTCAAAGTTTTAGACCAATAATGTTCAAATATTGGTCCGTATGGTAAACGAGTTCACAGTTTGGAAATTGTGAAACTATAATATGTAATGAATCTGTTAAATTATATAATAGTACGTCATTTTAGACATAATTACAATATAATAGATGAGGTCAAAGTCTGTCGTTTATAGCACGGCTAGGTAATGTTTCAATTCGTGTTCATTAAAAGCATCACCACAAGAATATGTAGCGGAAGTGTCGATTAGAGAATTATTGTTATGCTAATATTGTGTAGAATACCGATCCTCGCCTAATTGTAAAAATTACGTTTTCTCTCAGTTATAATAGTGTAATATATAAAGTATACAGCAAAAGGTAAAAAATAATGACCGTTTTGCGCTGATTACGTCAAGGCTAATAATCTACTGTAAAAAAATGTTAAGTGTACCGTGTTTATTCCATTTATAAATTGAGACACCCTATCCTTGATTTTATATGACAAAACTAATGGAGAAGTACAGTAAAGTTGTTCTCACTCTTCTATTTTATCCCTACTTGATATTTGAGTATATGGAAATGGTTTTTTAATTTAAAAATAGTCAATGGGACATTTTAATTGTATGTATGTACCAATTTGATAAAAAAATTAAATTATTCGATCATTTTGCTGTGCAATTACGCACGCACGTACGCGCGCAAACACACACACACACACACACCTATCGGTATAAAATACAAATTCCCTTTTTCAGGAATTAAAAAGTATTTCGTGCAATATAAAAGTTGAAGAAATGTTCTCCGCTGTTAAGTTTTTTAAATAACACAAATCGATAATAAAAATTCAATTGAGCACTTATGAGTATGAACCGTTAATTTATTTGTGAGAAAGAAGAGAAAATTAAACCCTGTAGTAATAATAATTATACCTAAGCGGTTCCATGAAAATGATCACACCTGTATGTATTAATCATATCGACACGTATAAAGTATCATCATTTACACGCGTTATTATTGTAATTATCGTATTTAATCCGAATCTTGTGAACTTTGAGAGTTCATTGTGTACGTATGTAATGAAACTGTCAATACAGATATCAATATCAAATATAAATAAGTAAAATAAAAAGGGTTTTATATTTATTTTACCCTTTTATTAAACTACAAAATGTCATTATAATTATTATATTGTATGAAAGGAACTAAATCATTACAACCTAGTTTTTATTTCATTTAATATAATGTTATTACACATATTTACATTCATACTTGCATTTAAAAAATAATATTGATACATGAATGTAAATTTCACAAAATATTTAGTTTAGTTATATGTTTTCACTTCTCGAAATAGTCCTGGAAGTCACTTTTAGGAATGGTCTTGAGTACTCGTCGTATTATTTTCAACCATCGTTTTGTCATCGAATCATTATCTTTTGATTGGTTTTTTGAAATTTGGAAACAACCAAAAGTCTCAGGAGGCTATGTCGTGATTATACGAAGACTGTCGAAGCAAAGCGATACTGTGTTTACTCAGAAACTACTGCACAAGATTCGATAAATGCGCTGGCGCATTCTCGTGATGAAGAAGCCATCAGTCACCACTTGATCAAACTTACGAACGTTTTCTTCTCACTGCTTCACTCAAAAGTTTCAAAAATTGAACGTAATATTCTTTATTGATTGCCTGATTTGTCGGTACATATTCGAGGTGCACAATGTCTTCACAACTGAAAAAAATATATAATTAACATTGACTTAACATTGCTTCGACTTTGACGTGCTTTTTTTAATGTTGGCGATACAAAGTGTTTCTACTGTGTAGACCGTTTTATTTCAGGATCATAACCATAAACCCGTGATTCATCACCAGTAATAACCTTTTTAAGCAGAATATTATTTTTATTAACCATTATTAAGATGACCAGAGCGATTTTTTTGCTCACCTGTTTTTGCTCTGCATTGAGCAATTGCGAAATGAACTTCGTACACACGCGTGTCATTTGTAAATTTGAGGTTAAAATTTCCCAAATTATAGTTTTTGGTATTCCAAGGTCTTCTTCTAGTTCCGCACATTCATACGATGGTCTTGTTCGACCGCAAGTCGTACCCGCTTAATATCATTCAATGTTTCTGTCGTCGAAGGTCGACCAGAACGAGAATCACTATCGACAGAAGTGCAGCCTTCTTTGAAATGATTATACCACTCATATATTCGTGTTTTGTTCATACACTCATTCCCAAAGACCTCCTGCATTATCTGAACAGTTTCTGAACTCGTTTTTCCGAGTTGAATGCAAAATTTGACAATCACAAAATTCGCCGACTCAAAAATAGCTTTGTAAACAATGACACGCTGCGCATAAGCTATATATGTTCGACAGATGTCAACAGACAACCGCCGATTAACACAAGTTCGTCTGTCGTGTGAGACTTTACTATATTGACGTTCATGCCCCGCAGAGATCGCTCGAACACTGTGGCGCGGAAATATAAAGATAGGCCTGCCGCCTGGGGGCCTATTCTGAAAAAAAATTTTAGCACATGTCATAAGCATTTATCACATCTAAAGTGATTAATTCTGTGGTAAACTGAAGTGACAAACTGATTTACCACAAAATTTTTTTTCAGAATAGGCCCCCTGATACTTTCGAGACATCGAGATAGACCTCGTATGTAAAATCTCTATTCCGTAAGCTTTCCAAATATACATCATTTTCTATGTTTCAACTCCGTTGCACTGACAAAATATCTGCAGTTAAACATGAAGTATACGTTTACGCGCTATAGTATAATTAATATTTATTTTAATAATAATCGATGTACTGCCTATGAAAAAATATTTTGCGCATTATATTTGTTTAGACATGTAGTATTTTCTGAATTATTAATTTTTTACTAATTGATTATTTTTAAAAAATACATAAAACGCCACGATTGCGGTCACATTATATCCAAATCATAAGCACAGTCGTGGTCGTCGTAGGTTGAGCATACAGACTATTAAATTTTTTATTTCAAGATGTTATCATTACTTTAACTACAACATAAATATCAATTTGTTGGAGTGAAAGGTTTTTAATCCAATTTTATGTATTACAGAGTCGCGATGTTAATTTTGGCACATTTTATTACAATTAAAGACATTAGTAAAGGTAAAGGGAACCAAGACTAATGCGTACAGGTACCCGCGGTGTACCTCCGTAGCGTTCCACGTGGACGTATTTCTTGAAATCACAATAGCAACAACAATAATAACAATATTAATTAATAGCAACCGGGAATCGAAGCCAGTTTTCCCGCATGATAGTCTTGCATTAATCAAACATGTCTTAATGGTTGACTTTCTATTTCAAAAAACTCCCATAGGCCCTTACGTAGGAGCTTATATAAGTTTGCATACCGGTTATAAATCAATTTCTTACGGAAAAACTTACCAACTAATTTTCAGGAGGGTTAACAATATAGAAGATAAGTTCTTCTGGAATAATTTACTTAAGTTCTTGCGATAATTGTTATACCTAAGTTCTTTCGTGAGTTCTTCCGAAAGAACTCATCCCCTCATTTTCAGGAGGACTCGCTTTCGCAGCGTAGACTTGATTTTTGAAGTTTGCTTTTCGCTAAATTCAAGGCCCATATGTATTTCTTATGCAATTCAATTGAAGGATAAATTCAAAATCGATTATTACACCGTAAAAAAAGTTCTAAAGTCACTATACCAGTTTATTTTTTTCCGCTCTATCGATTGCCGACGAAAACAGGAACCTAGGGTGGATATTGCGAGTTTTGAAATAAAAAATTTCGAAGTCGTGCCTTAAGATCAAGCGTAATTGATTCGAATTTGCCCCTATTTTTTTTTCGCCTATTGCGATTGCAACCCCTATCTACATATATAGTTCATGGTTGTCGACTGCTGTAGACAGTAAGACAGTCGACTTCAGATTCATAAAAGACGTAAATTAAAGTTTGTAGGAAAAAAGCCGATCCGTAAGTATTTGATTAATCTAATATAAGTAAATTTATCTATTCAGATCACGAAGTTCTAAATTAAGGTAATAAAATACGTTTTCTTTTCTACATTTTAGTGAAATAGCATATAATATGGCACTCTGTTACACCAGGTAAGTGTTTGTTGACAAAATTCTGACATGAAAAAGTTCGGCCGGTAATGAGTTAATAGATTCATTTATTTTATCACAAGCTTATAATATGTTTCATGGTCGCGATAAATTACAGGCTGTTATGTAGACGAACTATAGATCTCCGTAATTTTCGTTATTTATACACTTCCAAGTAAGTTATGTAATGATAATCTGTTTGGTTCTTGTAAATTGCAAATAACTAAATTAACAATAATATTAATGTACTGCAGGCCTTCAAAAATTAGTGTGACAGCACCAGCACTGCAAGCATCATCAGCAGTATGTGAATCACATGATGAGAAAAATATGCGACTAAAACGTCCAATGTCCCCACATTTGACAATATACCAAGTGCAACTGACATCTATGTTATCTGTATCACATCGTGCAACTGGTATTATTTTAAGTTCATATGCTATGATCCTAGGACTTGGTGAGTGTGACTACTTTTAATTCTTTTAATGTTTGAAAGTAGTAGATACATTAATAAAAAGTAAACTTTACTAGGTACTTTATTTATTCCTGGAGGCATCCCTTGTATGATTGAAGGAATTGCCGCATGGGGTTTACCATCTGCAGTACTATTATTGGGAAAAGCTATATTTGTTTATCCTTTAACATACCACTATCTCAATGGAATCAGACATTTGGTAACTTAATTGTTGAATTAAATTAATCTATTAACATTGAAATTTTTATTTTATGTAAAACATACATGTAATTACACATTTTAGGGATGGGACATGGGTAAATTTTTGACCATCAAAGAGGTTTACAGCACTGGTTGGACTGTTGTTGCCCTATCAACAGTTACAGCATTGATTCTGGCAATTATGTAAACCTCTATATATTTCAATTATTATATAAAATAAAATTCAGATATTATGTTGTATAAAATAAAACTATTTATTAGAAAATGTACTAAAATAACTTGATATCGTACGATAAATAATTTAATAAAAATATAGATTCGATTTGCAATAGAATTTTTACAGAAAATCTCCCATTGTGGAATCTATAAATTTCTTGTAGACTGCCATAAAGCGGGCGGCAAACGCTTCCAAGTGAAAGATAACTTTAGATCCATGATGCATCCTATGCTCATAATCTGCTGCAATGCTGGCAATTTCAATTTTCAATTGTAAATCGCAATTTTTCGTAACCTCTTGTAAAAGTCCTTTAAATATCAAATCTGTGGGAATCGCGTGCATTAGAAGTTCGTAAAATCGATTTCGAATTTCCAATAATTTCTTTGGACTTTGCTCAGCAACCATCATGTTGGCAATACCTCTGATATAAACTTGCCAGTCTGGTTCTGTAATTTTTTGGTCTGCAGCAAATGGATACCTGTAAGTTAATTTTTTCTATGTGCAATCAAATACTTTAAAATATATCATTACTGAAGACATATGACATAAGCCAATAAAAATGACATTAAACTTAGCTACAATTTTATTTTTATATTTATCTGATTATAAGTCAATTTATTAAAACATTTATGATTTGAATTAAGAAGATTTATATGCAAGAATTAATTTATTTTCCAACTTACTGTTCAACTTTACATGTTTCCAACATCAAAATGGCTCTTCTCAAATTTCTACCACTTATTTCTGCAATTCTTTTGGCAAGATCATCAGGAAGACTGAGACTTTCCTTTTTAGCCACAAAATACAAGATAGACTTTATTTCATCTATCTTTGGAGCTGGAACTCTGATACCCAAACACCTAGACCTTATTGCTGGCAATACTCTTGAAGTGGAATTGGTGCACAGAATTAGTCTACAAGTAGCAACATACTTTTCCATAGTACGACGAAGTGCATGCTGAGCATCTTTTGTCAAATGATCCACATTTGTTAATAATACCACTGTAATAAGCAAAAATTTATAAGCCATAAAAAAAATAAAAAAGTTATTGCTGTAAAAGAAAATTTTCTAGAAACCTTTAAACTCTCTTTGACCAGTTGGATCAATCTGATATGTTTGCGCTGTAGTTTTGACCAAATCCATTACAACTACTCTATCATGAATTCCTGCATCACTTGGATTCACTTCTATATGATAATTACTACTAATAGTCATGATTTCAAATTTTTTCTTTGAAGGAGTCTAAAATATTAAATATAAATATTTATTTTCAACTGAGCAACAAATTGAAGCAGAAAAAAATGATAAGCCAAATACTTCAAATAGCATTGGTTCCATTCTAAGTTTCTCAGCTCCATTTCCATAAAGCTCCTTGAGAATACACATTATTCTAGTCTTTTTTCCTGCTCCTGGTGGTCCATAAACCAACAAATGGGGAAAATCACCTTGTTGAACCTTAATTATAAACAATTAAACATGTCACAAACACTTTTGAACTAAAGGTTTTGAAATACTAAAACCATATTTTGACAAAAGTTATTATCAAGATTAATTAACAGACTATTACGTGTAGGTAATAGTCAACTCTTTAATAAATTAATCAATAATGATATTCTAAAAACCAAAATTTTATGTTTGCTGACTTCTCGCGCCAAATTCTTTAACCTCTATTCAAACAAATGCCGATTTCAATTCGCTTACCATATTTTTTAGTCGCTGAGCTTGTTCTTTATGATAATCTAATTTAGCGAAATTGTTCGGACGATATTTATCTACCCACAGAGACATTTTTTTAAAAGTAAAATATTCTAAAAGGGTATTGAATCACAATCATAACAAAATAGTCGCCAATTTGCCGCCAATACTGGATCGAATCAAAGAACTTGCTTCGAGATCGCTTTCTGATTGCTTGCTTTCAGGTTGTCCACTCTGGAGTTCATTTAAGGTTGGTGCGCAGTTGCAATATAAACTTCTGCACAGCTCACGTGCGAAACTTCAATTTATTGTGTTGTATACATACAATTCATACGCTGATCGTGTCTGTTACAAAACTGATTATTATATTGACAATATTAACATTGTCCTTGTGACGGACAAATCTGCGCACAATATACTATTCAGCATGCAAGTGCGCACGACCAACACCACAATGCTCCTGCTTCGCATAAAGTCTGATCGCCGCGCTCATTCCATATTAATCGAATTGATTGAATAGATCTACGCAATTTGATTGAAACTAAAACGTGAAAACTATTTGATTTTGGCAAATTGATATAATTTGAAATATCAACGGCTAAGCTTGAATTGGAATTCTTATCTTGTCTTAATGAAGTTGAAAATGAGTTAGGCCTTCTTAATTAAAATATAAATAACATAATCAATCTTCAAATGAATCTGTAAAATAATATAATCAATTATATAATGTTGATTAAATTATTTTATTTCTTGAAAAAGGCTGTTTCAAAAAATTTCATAAATATTTTATTCAATAAAAGACTATTTTCATAGATTTACTTATTATTGTAACATATTCTAAATATTGCAGATAAATGAAATACGAAGCATGAAATGGTACACATATTTTTATTTTTTTATTTTTTGAACAATAGATTATTCTGAAGATATGTGTAATTTACACGTGAATTACTTTACATAAAATTTATAACACTTTGGTAAACGAGCATTAATAATAATAAAAGAGTTATAAAGATAAATGCTTCATTTATAACAAATCGCGGTCAATTACCATTATGGCTTGGGCAATACATAGATGATAATAAACTATAAATAAGATTTTCCTTTTTAATGCAAATTTAGTAACATTTTATGGCAGTATGTGTTTATAATTTACCTAGAAAATCAAATAATACTACGTGTATAAATTTCCCAATCGTTACACAAAATAAAAAATAGTTCACTTTAAAAATAAAAGACGTATCCTAATTTGACTCGATCTTTAACGTTCATTATTGATTGAATATTCTAAGATTCAACATTTAAGTAACTAGTCAACTAATTCACATACTATATGATTATGTATAAATTTATAGAGATCATTTAAAATTGATTAAACCCATACACCGTGGGGGTTTTTACTTGTAGGCACCGCATTTTCTAGCTGTCTAGGAGAACCGATCATTTTTCTTGTACTTCCAGGCTTATGTACTCCTGTAATGATAATTTTTTCGAATTGTTAAGCAAATGCAATAAATCAATAGGCAAGAAATATATTGACTACTACCTTCAAGTAAATGTTTGTCTTGTTCATCTTGGCAAGGAGCGGTTAAACTTTGTAAGTTTGCCTCCTTCATATCAGCTACAAGCTTCTCAACTTGTAATTTTTTCTCTACAATTGCAGATTCTATATTTACAACTTCTAGCTTCAATGATTCCGCACATTGATTGGCTAATTCTGATGTACGCTTAACTTGCTCTAATTCATTTTGAAGATGTTCCATTTCATTTACGATTTTCCTTTCCATCATCTGATGTTCATCAGCTTCACGATTGATATTGTGCTGCTCCATTGTCAGTTCCTCCATTACGAGCCTGAAAAAACGACAGTTATAAAAAAAATCAAATATAGTGATAACAAACTTTCTAACAATATTGATATGTTTTTTTTTACCTAATTTTATTTTTACACTGAAGTAACTCCGTTTCGCAATTGGCAAGCTTCGATCTTAAAAGTGTTATTTCAGACTTTAGCGTTTTTTCTTGTTGTCTAACGATTTCACTCTCTTCTTCTACATGAGTCAAGTCTTTCAACTACAATATGTAAAAGGTTTATTTAATAGTTGAACCAAGTATTTGAAGTGCTAAACAGTGATCGAGCTTTTTACCTGCTCTTCAATAGCTTTATTAGTTGATTCAAGTCTGCTGACTTCTTGAGATATAAAATCCATTTGATGCATTTGTTCTCTATTTTTAGTTTCCCAATATAAAATTTCAGCGTCATACTGAAACGAAGTGAGTCATAAATAAATATGTAAATATTTTAAATAACTTGTCATTGACTAAATTGGATTACTTACTTTGGTCAGATCTGCTTGTTGAGCATTAATAGTATCCCTTTGCTTATTGACTAGTCTTATCAGCTCAACATATCTCTGTGTATATGCCACTGTTACCATGTTTTGTCCCTGTCCTGCAACAGGACTTACAGTCTGATTCTGTCCTTTTGATTCTTGAAATTCCTACAAGTAAAAGTCCAGCATGAATATTTCAAAGTCAAAGGTTTTTAAGAATGAGTATTTGTTCCAAGGACTATTGAAGACTACCTGTATGAGATTTCTTTTTGTTTTAGCAGCATTATTAGGTGATGTCTGTTCTTTATAAAAATGAGGACTACCGCTAGTATTTGGTAAGTACTGCGATCTTCCTGGGCTATTTATATTAGGAGGTGGAGGATCTCTATATGGAGGAAGAGTTCTCTGTGGTGGTGAAACTGGTCCTGGTGGATCTCTATAAGGAGGCACTTCGCGTATTTTCTTTTGTGACACATAAATATTCGTTGCTAAATATAGATACATTTATTAGTATCATAGATAAATGAAGCAATAAATCTAAACATAATAAATTTACCATCAATATTAGCAGATCTAGTAGGAGATTGAGCAAGCCTTTGAGAAGTTTTTCTTGCACTAAATTCTTTTGATTTCAACTGTGGCGTTGGCTGAACTATGGCAACATTTTCCATTTGAACCTTTATAATAATGCAATAATTTCAACAAATGTAATTTCTTTTTATAACTCAATTTTTGACATGATTCAATCTTACCTCTGGACTAAGATCACTCATATTTCCATGAAGTCCACTAAAAGTTAAGGATTTCCTAATATCACGATTTCTTTCTAGACCACTATGAACATCATCAAAATCTGATCCAATTGTTGGGCTTCCTTTTATACTCTCGGATAAACTACTACTATTAATTAAATGCTCAGCAAGAGGATTTTGCATTCCATTTGCACGATTACTATATATAGAGCGAGAGTTAGATGGCCCTGCACCTTTACTGCCTTCAGGATTTGATTTTTTAAGTATTAACTGAACTTCTGATGCATATTCACCCCACTTCATTAATATCTAGAAGTAAAAAAAGTTATTCATTCAAAAAAGATTAAAAGACTGACTTTGAACAACAAAATGGAGTAAGGATATGCTTTCATTAGTCATTTCTCCTACCCAGTAACAGGTTCTAATTATAACTGTTGATAGTTCATCTATAGCTAACTGGAGTCCAAAAATAAATCATACGTAAAAATACTCCACACTATGACTATTGATCTCACCTTTAGAGGATTCTCATATGGTGCAAGTAGTCGATCATTGTTTCTCCAACGCTCTATCAAAGTGAACCTGCCTGTTTGAGCAGTAGCATGTGCAAGTGCGTAAACTACATCCTGTATAACAAATGACATTCAATAAGTAAACAAATGGAAAACGAAAAACAAAGTAAGCAAACAATTAAAGCTTTTACAATTAACAAAAACACACCTGGCAAGTTGTGGTTTCAGTAACACCGCAAACGATGCGTTGTATACCTTCGACCCACACCTTGAGCTCCATTATCGTTTGTAATTTATTAAAATCACATTGATCCCTCTATATTCTGGATCATTTGATTTAAATGAATCAGTGAACTTAATAAACGACCAGAATCCCGCAACGCCATTTGGGGTGTAGTTTTGTTTCCCCGTAAGTACGTTTAAAGGATTTCATACAAAATGTTTCACAACAAATACACTTGCATCATCAACCGACACACACCAACTAAAAGAGAGAGTCTTAACCTGCAAGCTGCAACCTCAAATAGTACATTATCTATTTATCAATCGAGCTAACAATTTTTTATCAGATACCCTTTCCTCTCTATATCTAACGTCTATGATAAAAGCGCAACCAAGATGACGTCAACGCGTTCGTCTGATTCCCTTAGGTCATAAACGCTAGAACGTATACAGAGGTGAGACTGTACTTGAGATAAAGCAATTCCCTGCATTTTATTTTTCATTCCTTGGCTTTTAATATATGAAAATAAACTGATTGATTACTTCTTCTTTAGGTTATTTTTAAAATCGTGAAATTTGTGGTAAATCAATTGTGGTAATTCAAAACAGATTTTTGTAAACACGACTACATAGTTGTAAACACCGCGTGGGCAACTATTCGGTGAATTCAGTCTCACGTATGTTCGTAGTGCACATTTATAGACAAATCACACGTGATTCCATTGATAGATAAAACAAACGTCAAGATGCCGAAAGTTCCGAAAGCTAAATCTTCTCGAGTCCATGAACAAGTATTCCAACAAGGTATATTTTACACCTTAAGTATTTTTTATAATTAATAAAAGTTTGAATTTACAGCAATCCTAACCTTTTTGAGTAGAAAGAAGAAATTTGTTATAACTACTCAATTATTTATTTAAATTATCGTTTATAGTATTTTTATTTAAATAAATTACTATGAAAATAAATAATAATAAACGTTTTACTCTACAATTTTTTTGTGAATTTCTAATTTTATTTATTTAATAAATGTATAGGAATAATGTTCAATAAGGATTTTGGTCAGCATATTCTGAAAAATCCTCTGATTATCCAAAGTATGGTGGAAAAAGCAGCTGTACGTCCCACTGATGTGATTCTTGAAGTTGGACCTGGTACCGGAAACATGACAGTGAAATTGTTGGAGAAATCAAAGAAAGTGATAGCATGTGAAATTGATACTCGGTTGGTTGCTGAATTACAAAAACGCGTTATGGCAACTCCACTTCAATCAAAACTTCAGATTATGGTTGGTGATGTCTTAAAAAAAGAGCTTCCATTCTTTGATCTCTGTATTGCTAATGTGCCATACCAAATTTCTTCACCTTTGATATTCAAGTTATTGTTACATCGCCCTTTATTTAGGTATGATTATTTATTTACTTATGCCCAAAATCAAATGTAAGTTTTATTTACTGATGTTTATGGTACTGTAGGTGTGCTGTACTAATGTTTCAAAGGGAATTTGCAGAACGTTTAGTGGCAAAAGCAGGAGACAAAGACTACTGTAGACTTAGTGTAAATACACAATTGCTAGCAAGAGTAGATATGTTGATGAAAGTAGGAAAGAATAATTTTAGGCCACCTCCAAAAGTTGAATCAAATGTAGTTAGGATAGAACCAAAAAATCCTCCACCACCAATTAATTATCAAGAATGGGATGGTCTAACCAGAATAGCGTTTGTTAGGAAAAACAAAACACTATCTGCAGCTTTTAAACAATCAACTGTTATGGCTATGCTGCAAAAGAATTATAAATTACACTGTAGTCTTAACAATATTGTAAATTTTTTATTTTGTTTTATAATTAAAATCCATCTTGATTTATGCATGATTACTAAACATTAATATGTATTGCAGCTCTTGCCCAAAAACTTTGAAATAAAAGAAAAAGTAAATGAAATTTTGACGAATTTCAACATTGCAAATATGCGTGCGCGAACAATGGATATTGATGATTTTATTAGGTAAGTCTCTTTTTATCTATTTTTTAAAACAAAAATAATGAAGATATTCAAGTGAATAATTTTTTTTCAGAGTATTGCATGCTTTTAATAAGGAAGGCATTCATTTTGCATAGTTGATAAATCTACTACACTCGTTAACCTTGTTGATTTTGTATTATATTTAGAAAATAGACTTTAATAAAATATTTATCAAAAAATAAATACACGTTTGCTTTCAGTTTACGGGATAGGATATGATGAAGTATTTATCTCGAAATTATTTTTTGCACTGCCCAATCCAGGCTGTAAATGCTTATTCAGTTATTTATTGAAATTTGTACAAAATGCAAGGATCAATAATACATTCACAAAATAAAGACTTAATACTATTGAGAAAGCATATAAATATAAGGTAATACATACAATGTAAGTCCCAAAGAAATGGTAAATATGTTATGTTAAAATTGATTTTTCGACACTCCATGCGGAAAGTGCGTTTTTTCCACACGCTCAGCAAAAAGCGTGCGTTGAAAATCGCACTTTCCACACGTCGTATCGTATGTACTATAATCTAAAGATTCTCATAAATCAACATTACAAAGTATCATATTAATCATAATTTTTTCCACATTTATACATCTCTTTGGAAAGAAAGTCTTTTACTTAATAACTACTGTAGAGTCGTAACAATAAAAAAAAATTGTTTCTTTTAGCTAGTAAAAAGTTGGCTATTACTATTGCAGCAAATATCACTTGTACAATGCCACCGCAGTTATTGTAAAATTTTTCGATAAAAATCTTACAATTAATAATCATTTATAACAAAAAAACAGAAAAAGTATCAATCCGAAATTAGGATAATCAATTTATCCTCGCAATTTTTTATAAACTACAGCTTAGTCACGACTCCTGCTTAATACGTTGACATATTAAAAAAATAGCCTATTAATTATTAAAAGGAAAAAAGATTCTATACACATTTTAAAATCACACTTCCGTGGCACTCCAAAGGATGCAAAATTAACTGCAAGATCGCCTGCGTTTCTTGCTTTCCTTCCGCTTCTTGTGAGATCGATACCTGCCTCTGCTAGATTTGATAGATGAGGAATGTTCGAATTCGGAGCTGTGTCTATCGTGAACTGAAGCTGCTGCCACCACGGATTTGAGTTTCTTATTCAAATATTCATCATCATCATCATCGCCGTCATTGTCATCTTCGCCAGATAAACCACCGTTCTTGGCAAGTTGAGGTTGACTAGGGGAATGGTCTATTTCATTATACCATGGAGTTGGGCTCATCTCCTTGGAATAATAATCGGAATATTCTCGGTCACTATTATCGGTACAACTCATAGTTGACGTACTATCTGAGTCGTAATCGTTACACATCGGTCGGTATACTGGCTTGCTCTTCTTACTCTTAATCGGAGATGTCGTTTTTTTGCTCTTCTTGCTTGGCTTGGATAGTATTTCCGAGTCTGAATGATCCGAAATACATCTTTTAGAACCTCTTGACGTAGATGGCATGTCCATTGTCTCGCTTTCAACTTCACTGTCCATATGTAATTTGTCACGCTTACGAACTACGTTAGTGGTCTTCTTATGTTTGAGCGTACGGGCCTTACGAGATGAATTTTTTGAAGATTTTTTCTTACGGCGGCGAGACTTACTTTGAGGGTTGTAGTCACTATCCGATTCATCCGTACCAGGTTCAGAAACGCTACTAAAGCATTCGTACATGCAACATCTGGAGCCATCATCGTCGAACTGGCGGGTTCGCCTGCTGATGTTCAAATTGCGAACAATGGACGGACCGGGAACAACTTCTTCTACAACTGTCAGAGGCACCTCAGGTCTGAAAATTAAATAGATGATTAGCAACTTGAATATGAAATTTCGTATTTATAAACAAGAGTCTACTATCAATCATGATGTTCATCAATCTTTCATCAACATCACAGATGAATTTACTGATGACATCTTTTTAAAATAAATTATTTTTACTGAATATTAATCATAGTCTCTACATTTTTTATATAGTTATATCATAAAGTAATAATTACCGGCTGTTCTCGGTTGACGTAGATGGTCCAGGAATAATAGCCTCATCTTCAGACGAATCCAGGTCGATGACTTCAGGTGTCCTTTCGTGTCGGGGTTTAACGTAGCCAATAAATTCGCATTCGTTCTCAGATTCAGAAGATGAAGATATTGTGTAAATGACAGGGGGCACTTGAGGACCATCCGGTAGCCCAGGAAAAGTCATCTGGATAGCACGTTCCACCGAACTTGGTCCTAAAATATAAAATATGCGTTCATCACATTGTAAAAATGATGCATTGCAATGCTTTCAATTTTAAATTGAGGTAATTCTTACCTGGAATATCAATTATGTTTCGATCAAAATACACAGCATGCATGCCCAACATATGGTCACGATCATCGTCTATTAAGCGAACGTCCGAATCAGAATCAGAATCAGATGTTGAGGTACTGATTGGCGATACCGTTCCTGTCGCGTAATCATCCGAAAGCCCTCCTACCATATTTCGTGGATAGATCACAGATTGATCATAGCCTACCATGTCATAGTTGCTACGAGCATAGTTCAAAAACTCATGAACAAAATGCTCTGCTTTGCTACCGAAGTAAGGCTGAACGATGTTGAGGAATGAAGTACTATCGATATTGTAGCGGGTAATTGTATCCATGATTACATTCATCACATAAGCAATGTGACTGCAGTTATCATTTAACAATACTTGCAACTCCCTGTTGAGCCATGGAACGAGTCTGCGCGTTTCTCCAGGATGGCGCCTAAAAATTATCAAATTGCATTAGATATTTAAAAATTGCATGTTAGTAACAATACATAGATAAATAGACGTTTTTAAACATACATGTAATATTCAGCACTATACTCGCGGAACCGTCCAAATGCATCAGGTAGATCTGCGGCCCGTAGTTGTTGCCTGTAGATTTCTCGACGAAATTCATAGGGATCAAGGCCTCTGCGTCTGATGTCTTCACGGGTAACTTCGCGAATGTGACTTGGAACTTGTTCTCGACGAGCTACTGCTTCGGCATTCAACAAGGTATTGAACCGACGGTGATACGAACCCATAGTTGTTCTGAAAAAAAATATTTATCTTAACTATTGGAAGTCATTGAAAAAAATTATATTTATATACAGATGTAGTGTTTCAAATGTTTACCTGTACATGAAACTTCTTGATGGAATAGAAAGAGGAGATACACCATGAGATCTACGAATGACATCCCAAGGCTGTGCAGAAAAGCCAACAGCAACGTCCAGCGCTGCAGCAACTGGTTGACAATTGACATCATACTGGTCATAATCTCCTTCTGACCTAACATTGTGTATGATGGACTTGAATGTTTGCTTGCAAAGAGGGCACTCTGTCTTTATCTTGGACCATTGTAACAAACAGTTGAAACAAAACTGATGCAAACAACTGTCTGTGAATGATGTGTTAACCAGTTTTCCCAAACATATACTGCAGTGGGGTGGGGGAGATCCAGCGATGTTGCTTCTATCACTGGTGCTAGGACTTGGTACCATCTCTTCTGATTTGATAGGCTCCTCAGGGACTGGATTAGCGTCTTTCCTTTCCAAAGTTTCCATTATTGTACTTGTTTCAAAACTTATACAATCACTCAACTGGTACCTGAAAAATGAAACAAGATTTTATCGCTACTGCCTTATTCGAGTGAATACAATTTGCATCATATTTTTACAGTAAACACACTCTTTAAAATAAGGTTATTTTTAGTGACATTTCCCAAACCTACTTTTAGATCACATTTTATGTACATTTATTATGTATTTTTAATGTTTGGTCAAACTTATTGATTTCTAAACCATACACGCGTTTCCAAAATAAATAAAATGGATTCGTCAAATACTTTTACACCGAAAACAGGAATAAATCTTACCGTTCATGAACGAATGCGACAAATTCTAAGATATTCATAAAATGCCATGTATTTATATCGAGATACAAATTTCATTTCGCAACATTAAGGCAGAATGAAACAGACTCATGACATCAGAAATACAATATCAGCTGTAATATTTCCCCAAGCCATTGGCAATGGCGACTCGCTTGTTAGAAAAAAAGGAAACGTTCGAGTTCACTTCTGGACAACTAACAAACGTAATCCTAAAACAGACATGGATTCTGAATCTACGTAATCCAAAAAGTTCACGCGTACGCGACATTAGGCCAAATCAGATAAAAAATAGAAAATATTCCATAGCGTTACCTCATACACAAACACGCGTCCACGCTCTCCCACTCCCCTTAAAGTAAAAAGTGACACTCACCTTTAAACTTCATTCCTCGACAAGACAATGATGTAGGCACTAATCATGCGTCTGGAGAATATGGTAATCGCTGTCAACAACGCAACTTTAGCAAAGGCGATCGCAATAACCAAAGTTGAACACGAGTACTAGGATGTAAGATCGTAGAGCAACTTGAAACAACTTCGAGAGGTACTGCTTTGTACGCCAGGACTGCCAAGCCAAGATAAACACGTTCTAACTTCCAATAAACGGAGCAGGACTGCCAAGCCAAGAACACAAGAACAGCTACTGCACTACTGTACTGCACAAGACAAGCATCAGCTATGAAACTGGCATCAACGGGACGCGCTACTTATAGACGTGATTTTTAGGGCGGCGCCATTGGAGATGTGGAGGGAGCAAGGTAGTAATTAGTCTCCACGAAAGGGAGATTGCTATTGGCCATGTGCTAAGTTTCGTAGGTGCGGGCTTATATCGGTCACGCTTATGCTTAGAACCTTGTCTATCTAGAGGTAGGAAATGGACAAGCTACGTTCAAGGGATAAAAGCGAGGGTAAGGCAGAGCAGCAAGAAACGATTAGCCACTGGTATCAATAAGTAGTTGTGACTTTTTATTACTTTTTACCGCCTATTGTCCTGTAAAAACACATGTCGAATAAATTTTAATATATTCATTAAGCATATACTAAATATGTACATAGTGTATTTAAATACATTCAAATACATTGCTCGGCTATTGATTTGCAACCCGCAAAGTTCAAAATCCAAATTATTTTCGACGATTGAGCATCGATGGTATCAAATGGGTTTTTTCTGACAAGTTGCTGGGTGGGTGTGTAATTTGCCAAAATAAGCCCTTGACTTAACCTCAGTTGATGTTAAAAATGCTCAATCATCGAAAATAATTCGGATTTTGAACTTCACAGGTCGAAAATTAATATTCGGGCCGATTACCTTCTAATCTCTGGCGCCATCTTCATTAACGATACCTCAGTATCAGTAATAAAAAACCCTTTATTTTCATGAAATCGTATCGCATCTATATCATTTATACAACTATGTCCAAGATGCTCGGCACTGCCGACTGTGAATCTTGAGCATAGTTGTATAAACGAATAGATGTGATACGAATTCGTTTCGTTTCGTTTTAATGGCTGTGGGTACCAGAGGACTCCGATGCGTCACAATTCAAATTGTGATACGAATTCATGAAAATGAAAGTTTTTGGAGCGTCATCGGATTCTCATCGTGACACTCGAACCCCATTACATTGCATGGGAAATTGAAAATTGGAGTCAAGTACAAATGACGCCACTGTCATAAAAGTTTGAAATTTGAAAATGCTCTTGAGTTGGAAAAGTTCTATCGATAAAAAAACCTGAAATTAAATTTCTGAAAAAGCATCTCAAAATGCATAAAAATACTTTAATTGAGTCCATAACCCCACGTTTATGAAATCCCCCTTGGCCCCTAGACTTACTGGCAAGCATTTAATTATCAGTAATAAAAAATCCTTTATTTTCATGAAATCGTATCGCATCTATAACGTTTATACAATTATGTCCAAGATGCTTGGCACTGCCGACTGTGAATCTTGAGCATAGTTGTATAAACGAATAGATGTGATACGAATTCATGAAAATGAAAGTTTTTGGAGCGTCATCGGATTCTCATCGTGACACTCGAACCCCATTACATTGCATGGGAAATTGAAAATTGGAGTCAAGTACAAATGACGCCACTGTCATAAAAATTTGAAATTTGAAAATGCTCTTGAGTTGGAAAAGTTCTGTCGATAAAAAAACCTGAAATTGAATTTCTGAAAAAGCATCTCAAAATGCATAAAAAATACTTTAATTCAGTCCATAACCCCACGTTTAAGAAATCCCCCTTAGCCCCTAAACTTGCTGGCAAGCATTTAATTATTTTTGTATAATTAATAAGAAATAAACTTTTTATAAAATTGTTAAACTGAGTATAAATCAAAAATATATGATATGTCGTAGAATATTTGCTAATTTTATAATAGTAATGTAAATCGATGAAGTTACATTTCTATACATTACTATTGCTTATCTGTTGTGATCGTAAACTCACCCGGACCGTCTGCCAGGTAGACGACACTAATGAGGGTAGTCTAAGTCTTTCACTGCAGAGATTATGGTAATTAAGAAGTCAAATTCTTTTACAAAAAAGTCAATAATTACTTAAAACCCTGTGGTGCGACTCTGGTAAAGCAATAATTGACTTTTTTTTTCTTCTCATTCATACAGAATTATCTTCTGATCTTGTACCTGGCGCAAATCGATTAGTATGAGCATTGTATACTTTTCCTTAACTCTCAGGTTGACAAATTTATGACTGTGACGTGACGGCTGGTTAAATGCTCGGATTATCCAGCGATTTCCCTGGCGCCAAACCATCGGGAATTAAGTATTGTGCTCTCAGTTCCAAAAATACGATTAGTATATACCATACAAATGTAGTCTGACAAATTACCACCAAAAGCCATTACTGTAATTTATACTTAAATTATAACTTATTACTTGTACTTTATACTGTAAATTATAACCTTGTAAATTTATAATAATTTATTTAAATAACTGAACGAATGAAATGCTTCAACGTGACTTCCATCACTTTTTTGTAAGGGAATAAGGGTCGGGATGATGATTTAATCGAGATAAAAGTCGGTATGAAAAATCTACTTTACCGATTCCAAATACACGCGAGATATATGTGATATACCTGTGGTTGATAATAATGATATTTATCACACCAGTACTTATATAGGTATTTCGTTTTCAACTCGATGAGTGTCGCTGATATTGAGGTATAGGGAACAACATGAAATAACCGTTACGGATTTTAAATATGCACTATCAAACTAAAAAATTTGAAATGAAGACATGAGAAAATGTGATTATCTTATCGATTTTATTGTTAATCCGTTTAAATAATTCATCGGTAATAAGTAATGTAAATTAAAGAATGATTGTCAATTAAAGTAACAAACTAATCGACAAATTCAGAAGAAAAAATCCATAAAAAGTAATTTAATTAAAGTTTCGATGATAATGTAATACGACCAAAGATTCAACTTGACCGAAAAGCAGCATGCCACGAATCCCAATCAAGGGAAAAATCAATATCCCATCGAAATCCAATGGAAGGATTACCGAGCGTGTCCTCCTTGTATGCATGTGAGAGTATCGGAAGGGGCGTTGGAAGCCCTCATTAAAATGACGCGTAGGGAGCGTAGCGAGCGAAGCGCAATAACAATCAACGCGAGTACCATTAACGCGCGAGCGACGCGGCGCCGCGGCCGTTTTTCCATGAATAATTGAGAGGCGAAAAAATGGCCGCGCACGCTAATCCCGCCGAACAATCTAGGATGATTAAAGCGCGCAAGGAGCCTTCGCGCACACGCGCGCCCCGAGCAAACACCTGCCGCGGAGGGCTGGAAAAATGTGTGTCGCGCGCTCGCTCTCTCGCCTCGGGCGCGCCGCCGCTTGGCTCGTCTCCGCGACTGCTTTGGGGGAGCGAAGTGTCGACGAGGTGGCCTCATACGACGAGGCTAAACGAGCGCACTCGCCCGGCCGAAGCTGCGCGCATCGCCGCTCTCGCGACAGGTTGCATAACAGTCCCTCCCAATTGAGCTTCGCCGAGCGGCATCGCGAAACCGCTCGCGTCAGCTGCGCGCGACGTGACAGCTTAACGGGCAGATAGCGCTATGCTAATTGCTCGGCCTGATGACGGGCAAAGCAGAAAGAAAAAAAGAGAAGTCACGTATGCAGCCTCTCGCGGCGCGATCGAGCGTACGTTGGGACGCGATTGCATGGCGCGTGCATAGAAGCGCTGACTAACCGCTCGGCTTTATAATGCAGCAATATACACCGTCGAGCGCTCGGGCGGCGCGCGAGAAGCGCGTGGAATCTCGATAGATCGGCGCCGTTCAATTAATGCCTGCCACATGACGTCGCTGCCCGGAAACCAGGGGGTGTGCGCACGTGAAAAAAGAGGGAACGAAGGAAGGAATAGGATGATGATAGATGCAACGAGACCACGTGCAACGGCGGCAGTAGCAGCAGCATCCGATTCCGAAACCCCCTTGTGCGTATCAATCGCTTTTGTCTGTGTGATTGCCCGCGTAGGCGAGCTGAGAGATAGAGAGCGTGTCTGTATATACGCGTAATATCGATTAGTATTTTCGGCAGATGCTGAGGTGGGTGTTGTACAGGTTTGAATGATGCGATGTGTGCGTGCGGCTGAAATTGATTTTCGCTTTTGGGCTTTGAGTATTCGTCGGCGCGGGCTACATTTATTTAAAAGTTGGTTTGTCAAGATTTTCTCGTCCGGTGGGAATGCAAATGGAAGATTGTAAGGTCTGGATTCGATTCTTCGGAAATTTATATTTAATTAACTCAAACATTTTTACGCTACCGATACTGTTGACTCTATGAAGATTTTTGAAAGATCCCTTCATATTTCGAAAAATATTTGCACTAAACAAAATATGCACGTCGAAATGTGTGATCTAAATAACGGTTATCTGTTAGTTGAAATTTGACATTGTTTTATCTATTGTTACCCGCTTCATATTTTCCGATCGTGCCAGATAACGACTTACATATAGTCATACAGTCAATATGCAGAATACAATTTTTCAGAATCAGCTATCTAAAAGTACTTTACATAATAGCGTCGTTAGCATCATACGATTTCGAAAATAACAGGCCTTGCGACCGAAAAATCTACGTTATGTCCGGCCTCTTGCGCCTGTCATACAACTCAAAATTATTAATTAATCGCCCTAGAGAAAGGAGGGCACGGGGATGTACAAACCTATTATTTTTCCACCCTCGCGCCACGCAGTTTGAAGTTGTCCGCGTTGACCATTCAAAACCCGTGCGTCAGATGGCAGCGATCCCCAATATTCGAAAATAGTACCATCCCATAAATCAGCTTGGTGAACGTGTTCTCGCTCTCTTTTAAAAAATAAAAAAATTAATAAATAAAAAAATATAAAATCCGTAATTATTTTGAGGCTGCTTTCATGTTCATCGCCTATACCGAATGCATTAATTAGATACATCCATCTGAGTTTATTGTGAGCGTTTCGATTTTTATGGTAAATGATACAGATAAAGGGTGGGTGCCGCGAGATAGCGCTTGAATAATCAGAATATCGTGTTTTCCTAGCGATTGTGAAGCGATTGCATTTCATTTTCACGAGTGAAAAAAAAACTTTTGGATTTTCGAGAATATCTATTATTTTATATTTGTTCTTTGTTACTTGAAACTGCATTTCTTTTGTGTGGGATTTTTCAA